CGTAAAAGATAAAATCATAAAACTCTTAGAAGAATTTCAGTAATGACCTGTGCAGCAAGATACGATCACGTTGATGCCATAATACATGAATTTTATAGGAGCAATCAACCAGTTTTTAAAATTTGGATTTAAGGCCCTCCTCAAGAAATGGAACTCATACTTGACATTATCAATGAAGCCAGCAATCCATAGCTAAATCCATAGGGCTTTAAGAGAAAACCTACCGTTGTTACCTGCTAAAGGGACATAACCATGAAATGACTCCCAGTGAATCATTGATATACCAATAGATTAATGCATCAATTAACCCTCATCAGAGAAGTTTTTTCTGCTGTAGATGGCCTGTCACAACATATGATTCATCAGTAGATGATCAGGGAATGAGCCATGTAGGGGACCTTCAGAAGGTGAACTTCATGGTGAGGGTTGTCGGTTTTTCCCGTGGGCTGCTGGATAAATAACAGGGTGAGGAATGGAAGAAATTGGACCCTGAAATGCAAATGTTAATAGAAAGGCATACATAAGTTTAGGGGAAAGGTCTGTGTTGCAACGTAGGAACTAAATCTGGTACTGACTCTCATCTGCAGCCTACCCTTGTTAGAGGTGCGTTATATTCTCGTTTTCTAGTCCATCCCCAAAGTTTAACATCTCAGGAAATCATGGGTCTGAGTCTTTCAATGGAATGAAAAAAGGATTGAAGAACAGCAAGATATGCAGGTAGGTAGGTAGATAGATGATAGATAGGTGGTTAGATTATAGATGGACAGATAGAGGATAGATAGATAGATAGATAGATACAGAGACATGGAGACAGTGACAAAGAGAGACAGAGAGCATGAGTGATTGCATTCTAGAATCGTGAGAATGCTAGAGAAGAGTCGGGAGGGCCATGAAAGAGGGATGTCCTGCAGTATTGGTCTTGAGAGGAGGTAGGGAAGGAAATGGCCAATAAGGTAAAATGCTACAAAAAAACGGACCAGTTCTTGGACTTGCCAGAGGCTGGGATGAGTCTGCAGGAGCTATGTAAGTGATGGCGCGAAGCAGGGCATCAGATTATAGGAGATAGCACACACAAGGGATGTGTAAGTTAGATTTTTGATTTATTACCTTTTTTATTATTATATGAGTCAGAGTGCTGTGTGTGAGTGATAGACAATCCTATTCAACATGGCTGAATCATGAAGGAGGAGCACGACAGGGGCTGCAAGTGGAAACGATGTCATAAAATCTCCGTCTTTTCCACTTTTGCATCTTTGCCTCATCTTTAGTTTTGTGTGACATCAGGTCTGCCAGATACTTCAAATTGACATCCAAGCATGAAGTTAAGCTGAAGTGAGACCTTGTCTCTTTCATGCAGATCTAAGAATTCCTAATTGTATCTACTTAAAATTTATGCCCAAACTTGAATTAGCAGTGACCAAGAGGAGAAAGTTCCATTGTGCTGATAGCCAAGATACAGGGACAGTGTGAGTTCTAGGCTTGATGTATCAGTTATATATTGCTGTGTTATATACTTGACAGAGGCAACTTAAAGAAGGAAAGGGTTACTTTGGTTCACAGTTTGTGGGTACAGTCCGTCATGGTGGGACAGGCATGACAGCCAGAACTTGAGGCAGCATGTCCCACCGTGTCTGCTGTGATGAGGCAGAAAGTGTTGAACATTGGTTCTCAGCTTGCCTTCTCCTCTTTCTTTGGTCCAGAGCATCAGCCAAGTGAATGGTGTTGCTCACATTTATGGTGGCTCTTCCCACCACAGTCAACCTAGTCTAGATATTGTTCCACAGGCCTGTTCTCTTAAGTGATTCTCAATTCTGTCAAGTTGACATTGCTAAACATCACAGTCTGTCATTATGGTTATAGGGACTTGTGCTTTGATTAATTAATTCTAGGTCACATGTGGACCCTGTAATTTGTGTGGGGTCCTAGCTGAACCGTTTGGTCCAAAGATCAAGAGCTGCTCTAGATGTTGCAGTTTGCATCATGGTCTAAATAGACAGTTTCCATTAAAACTGTGGCGGACAGAGATAGAGTCAGCAAGTGGAAATTATTGATCTCAGTATATTTCTGCTCTTAGAGAACGAGTTTCCTGTGGAGCACAGTAATAAAGCAGGCCTGTTGTTGATGTAGGTGGTCAGCTAGCAATGGGGACATCAAAGCAAACACCAGGAATTAAGTGACATCTGTCTTTCCAGCTCTATGATCTTGCATTTCTCTATAACACAGAAGAGAAGGCATCTTTACCTGGCAGAAGAGGAGGAGGAAGAGTTGTAGGAGATAGAGGGTTTAAGGACACCACGAGAAAACCCACAGAATCAACTAACCTGGGCTTATAGGGGCCCACAGAGTCTGAACTGCCAACTGGAGAGCATGCACAAGACTGACCTAGGCCCTCTGCACATACATAACAACTGTGCAGCTGGTGGTCATGTGGGACTCCTCACAGCAGGAGTAGGGGCTGTCTCTGAATCTGTTGTCTGCCTTTGGGCTCCTTCCCTATTGGGCTGCCTCTTCTAGCCTCAATAGGAGATAATGGACCTAGTCTTACTGAAACTTGATTTGCCAAAGCTGGTTGATACCCATGGGAGGACTGCCCTTTTCTGAAGAGAAAGGAAGAGGAGTAGACAGGAGGATGGGGAGAGGAGGACTGGGAGGGGAGGAGCGAGCGGTTGAGATATACAGTAAATAAATAGATTAACTTAAAAAGAATACACCTTTACATTAAAATCCAGTCTACTCTTTCATGCATATCAAAATGCAACCCAAAACTTCATGAAATTGTGGCTTGGAGAGATAGCTTAATTAGTAAAATAACTGGCTCACAAATGTGAGGCCCTGAGTTTGGATTCTCAGCACCACATAGAAGTTGTTGTGCGTCTGTAGGGAGCAGACAGGTGGGTTCTTAGAGTTCATTGACCAGGTATGAGATCCATGTTTCAAAAAATAAGGGACAGAGCAGGAAGGCTCTCCATGGTATATAGATGTATGCATGTGTGTCCGTATGCACATGCACACACACAGAGGGACATGTATGCACGAAGTTTTACAAAACAGTACTTTTCTTTAACACCTGTGTTTCTATTTTCTGTTCTGTTTGATTCTATTTAAAAATCCCTACAATATACAATCTATACTTGTCTTCCCATCCTTCTGATTAAGTCTTGATCCACAGTTTGAAACCTCATGCTTAGGTTCCCTGTCTCAGCACATCTGCTTCACATGAACAAAGCTTGAAGATGGGGCCTGAATCTGGTCTCTCATGATGCCTGTAATGCTGGGGAAAATGAGGAAGCAAGCCTGTTCTGGGTGGTGTGGTTTCCTGACATCTGTCAGAGAGCTCTTAGCCCATTGAGATGAGGTACCCATCTTTGTGGGCCCTCCAGGCATTGTTGGCAAAGGTTCACTTGCTGGTTATGGGTGTAGGATGGCAGAGGTGGCCTGGCAGTCTGTCTGTCTGCAGGCTGTCAGCAGCTATAGCAGTACTAGCAGCAGTTTGTGCTGTGAGGTTGAGTGTGTGTATGTGTTCTTTGTTAGGCCTCTTTGCTGAAGGCACGGGAGTGGCTTTTAAAAATAACATCTTTTTGACTTGAAACAAGTCAAGGCAGAGAGAGGAGACAATTAGACACTGACATCCTGTTTAGTCATCTTTCCAGAGAGACTATTTTCAGAACCACTCAATAGAGGTTCACAAGTGGTGTCAAGGTAGTTAACATGACATTGTAAGTTAGTGTTTGTCACAAGGCCAGCAGGTTGAGTTGAGCATAGGAGTGATATACAGAGTGGTAATCTTCCTGGACACAGATTCTGTGCAGAGAAAGGCAGAGTTTAAGAACTGGCTGGCTGCCACAGTAGAGAGGTAAAGCTGTCAGAGAGTACAAAGCACATTGTATTATGAAAGGTGTCTGACTTGAGCGTGATATAATATATATATAGTGAATTGCAGAAAGACCCGTACCCAGTCCACTTTGAGGGGTCTTTGTTTACTTGTATGTACAGTAAAAGCAATGGATAGCCCTGTTAAGTTCTGTGATAGAAGCCAGGCCAGAAATGTCTCATGCTGTTCCCCCAAACTTTCAAAGAACAGGGAGGCTCTGGGGGCGGAGGACTGAGGCCACTCCAGTTCCACTCTCAGTAGAGTTAGGCAGGTCCTCCAGTGCAGGGGCCCTCTGTTGTAGCATGCAATCTGCAGCTTATTTAAAGGGCTTCCTGCCCCCTTAGGTCATCGTTATATTTAGCTGGGCTTACTGTAGTGAAAGGTCAGAGGCAGGAGTGGAGCCATGAGCTGAAGCTGAAGGATCCGTTTGAGGACATTTATAAATGCATGCATTTAAATCCACAGGCATCTCATGTTGCAGGAGTTTGAAATGTGGGTGGACCGTGAGCTCAGCATCCTCTAGGAAGAGGTTAGAATGTGCCAGCTTGGGTATCAGGGGATGCTGCAGTTCCATTCAGTACCCTGCTGTGTGAGGGTCTTTAGGGTACATGTCTTGATGCCTCAGCTGATAGATAACTTCAGTGGCTGTTAGTCAAGAATAGCTAATCCTTGTCATAAACTAGACAGGTAGAAGAAGACAGAGGCTCTTCATACAATTCACTCCCATGACACTAGACCTTGGAAGTTGAATGGGCCACTTGGTGTGTGTTGACATTGGTCCTCCAGCTCACTTACTTGCCTTGTGGTTTAGTTACCTGAGGCTCTTACTAGAGATGTGCCTAAGATACAGTGGCTCCAAAGCAAGAAGCAAATACTTTTTCACATCAAGTGAGGTGAAGGAGGAAGAGAAGGCAATTCGAGAAGAAGGCAGCTCTGAGTACGAAGTTTCCAAGCTTGAGGGCTCCTTAAGGTTTCACTTATTTCTTTGTCTCTGCTGTGCAATGAAAGATTAGGATTTGTGTGGCTGTGATTTATGCATCTAGGCCGCCTTGTAAAGAATTATTCAAGAGCCACAAAAAGTAATTCAATATTAAAATTTAATGTGCCTTTTTTCTCTCTCTCTTTCTAGGTGGATCTGGAGCCTGAGGGGAGAGTGTTTGTCGTAATAACCCTAACAGGGAGTTTCACTGAAGGTAAGAGCGAGTTGTGAGTGGTTTCTGGTGTGCGTGTAGTTTCAGTACATGATTAAGAGGAATGTCTATCGATGGAAATTACAACAGGGGCATTTCCTGAAAGCTGTTTTAAAACCACCGGTGTAGCTTGAGATGCTGCTGGCTCGGATCACCACGTGAGCGGCCATTATGGATCGGTTAGCTTTGTTATCATGTCCACTGAGGTTCTGAGTTTACCCATCGTCATCCTGGCTGGCCTGCTGGATCGCTTTCTTTTGAGTCACGCCTGTTGTATTCTACTCTAGAGTCTGTGCCAGGCATTTAGTCTGCCACCAGAAGGAATTTGCAGCTCGTGTTCTCTTTTCCATAATCTCCACTTTATTCTTATCCTTTAACCAATTGACTGTGCTTTAGTGTGTGGTAGACAGCTATCAAACTGTCCCCCACAAACCAAAAGCCATCTCACAAATTAAATATAGTGAAATGAAAGATCACATGTGAATAATTTGAATTTCAGCCAATAACCCGATAACTCAGCCCTGCAATTGAAGATGCAGAACCTTTCGGTTCCTCAGAAGGTTCTCTGCCTATTGATCACTACTGTTGCCCAAGGCAATAAGTATACTATGTTCTCATTCCCATGACGTGTTTCTGCCCATTCTAGACGTTTGTGTAAATGGAATTGTATAGTGTGTTCTCTTTTGGGGTCTAGCGTTTTTTGCTTAGCATCATTTCTGATGGATTCTTCCATCGTTGTATGTATCAGTGATTCATCTTTATTGTCAATAATATTCCATGCTTTAAGTCTAGCGCCCATTTGTTTTAGACATTGGGGGTTTCCCGGTCATTATCTATTATGAACAGATCTTCTGCTAACATCCTTGTACACATTTGGTGAATGCACACGTTCACTGCTTTTAGGTGGATGGGTAGAAGTGGATTTGCTAGGTGTTAGACTGGGCATGTGTCCTGTTTTCTGAAGATTGTGAATTATTTATGCTTTTACTTTGATGCTGAGGATTAAGCCCAAGGCCTGTGCTTACTAGATAGAGCACTGTGCCATGGCGACAAGCCCAAGCCCCAAGTTAGATGGAAATGTCTTTTAATACAACTTAGGGGAGTTTCTTATGCCTTATGAATGGAGGGCCTTTGGGAAAATACACACAGCAAGTGTTGTCTCACGCTCCTCTGTGCTTGCCCCTTTTACTTCCTATTGGGAACTGAAATGAGGTTGGGGTCTTGCATGTGCTCTGCAAGTGTTCTACACCCAGCTCGTGCTCAGCCCCTCCCCATCTTCTCTTTTTGAGATGGCATGTACTGAGTGTCCAGGTAAATCTTTAAACTTGTCATCTTTCTTTCTGCCCCAGCCTGCCAAGCTTTTAATTTAGCCTCTTTGTTTTAACCTTTAGAAGATTTTATTTACTATAAAGCCCAATGTGTCAGCATCATCTTTCATAATTCGTGCATTTCGAGTCTTGTTTATGTTACTTGTTGTCTATCACAGAGGGTCACAGAGATGCTTCTTCTTTTTTTCTTTTTGAATGTTGCACTTTTATGTTGAAGCCTGTGTGTCACCGTAACATCTGTGATTTAACAGGAAGTCAGAATATATTCACAGACACTCATCTTGATATTGTAGGGGCGTTTGTAGCAAAAGTTCCCCGTTCTCATTCACCTACCACAGGACCTTTTTGTTGAAAATCACTTGATCCCAGCAGTGGGCCCATTTCTATCATCTAGTCTGGATGCTGACGTTGGGGTATTTGGCTAGTGCCACACCTCTGTGCCCACTGTCCGTGTGCAGCAAGGTGTAAGCTTAAGTCGAGTGAGGACATAACCTTTGCTAGGGCTTCCTTTGTAGTTAAGGTTATGTGAGCGTTTTAGTATTTTTGAGTCTTGATTTCAGTCTTAGCATCAGCTTATCATTTCCACACGGAGCCTCCTGGGTTTTGAATTGAATTTGAGACAGCTGTATAGATCAGTTTGAGCTGAACTGGCAGCTTATTCCTAAGTGTCTTCCACACGGCACATCTCTCCACACAATGGCTTTGAGTGTGGCTCAGCTGTAGAATCAGTATTATTGATACTGCATAATTTTTAATACAGAACTCGCTTATGCTTTAATTTTTTTTATTGCTAAGTGCTTTAAGGTTTATGATGCTGGAAATGGAATTTTGAGAATTTCATTTTTAAATTAGTGTATGGAAATTGTTTTCTGTACATTAGCTTTGTAAGCTTTGGCCTAATCATCAAATTCACTACTACTTCCGATAGATGTGTTTGCATTTGCTTGTATAGTAACCATATCATCTGTGAATAAAGACAATTTCATACACTTATGCCTTTTTAAATGTCCTCATGGTGTCCCGAGACCACTGTGACTAAATCCTTGTCTCCTATCTACCCTTTCTAAGGAGGAAGACCTTGCCACCCTCCTGCCTCAGCCTGTGGAGTAGCTGGAATTACAGGCATGCACCACCGTTGTCATAGTTTTCTTAGGATGGCAGACTTTAAGCGACAGGCTGTTTAGCTGCAAATATTTTACTGGTTGACTTTATCAAATGAAGTCTTTTCTAGTTCTGGCTTATCTCTCAGCTCTTAAAAATATGGTAGGAGCAGCTGTTACGTTCTGGCAAGTGTAACTTAGCTTTCTTACTCACGTCCAAAAAGCCCTATCTTACTGAGAGTTTCCTGTACAAGTCTTCTTGTATTCATCTTTATTTTTCTAGCAAGTACTTACATCACTGACTGACACCCCCACCCCCAGAGCTATGGAACCTTTCAAGAATAGGACTGTTTTGCTTCATTCAGGACAAATTCCATAGTCCTGGGGCACAATGCATAACCACAAGCACAGGCAATCTGGTTCATTGAAAATCCTGAGAATTTTAAGTCCTTTTCACTTTTTAGTATTTTTAGCTCCACATTTTTAGGACATCTCGGGTGTTGCTTGCACACGTACAGCTGAGGAGATTTTAAAGCGTGTAATCTGTTTGTGTATTCAGCATTGATGTCTTGCAAGTTGGTTACCGTTCCTTTGAGAAATAGTGTTCTCCCCTCCTCCCTGCCAACTAACCTTACTCATAGAGGAAATGGTTTCAGTGTTAAGGTTTGCCCTGTCTCTGTTCATTCAGTGGTGCCTTTTGTCAAGTACTGAACTTAGCAGCAAATCTGATCTCCTCACACATACAAAAACGGCCCAGGTTAGAGCGTGAAACTCCCTCTGCCAGTTTCTTTTCCTTGTTTTGGACATGGGGAATCCAGGGACAGCTGAATTTACTCTTTGTTCTGTGGAATAAAATTACTGTAGTATTACATGTACCGGCCATGGTACAGGGAAACCCAGCAGTGAGAAAAGAGGCCAGAAGAGATGTGAGTGAGGTTGTCACCTTCCTGTGCTGCTGCAGAGGTCAGTGACGTACGGTCATGCGTGCTGTGACAGGTCTGACCGTACTGCAGGCAGTGAGCACACTAGCTCTCTGGGACTAGGTATTTCTAAGATGTATCTTCCTTAATTGTGCTGATGTAGGAAAACACCTGGATCTTGTCTTTGTATTTATTTCTCAGTTTTAGTGATTAGAAGGGAGAAATGGCAGATTGTTTGGGGGTGAGATCTATTAGGTCATAACAACTGTTTGGAGCTGGCCCTGTGTGACAGGCCGAGTTCATCTTTGACAACTATATCTCCCTCTAAGCCAGTCCTTGTTTCTCCCCGACTCTGGTAAGAATCCAGCTAGCTGGTGCCGAGGAAGGCAGTGAGTTCATAGACTAATGTCACTGTGCTAATACTACTTGCGGTCTTAGCAGTCTACCCTAGGAGTGTTTGCATATTTTAAAAGATGCTATAAAACCTATTTTGCACATGAGAAATAGACTTTAATGTTGGGACATTGGGAGCAGAGACATCTATGTGTGGGACTTACTTTAGGAACTTTAGACCTGAGGTGTCTCTATGGAAGCATTGTCTTTTCAGTTTGGATTCTAGACTCGGTTTCTAGACTCGGTCTCAGTTTCAGCTCTCAGGTGGCTTTAGTCTAAATGCAGTTCTCTTGTCAACGCAGAGGATGGAATTCCTATTCTCCCTCTTTCCATCCCTTCCTCTCTTCCTCTAATCCTCTTCTTCCCCACTCTCTCCTGCCCCTCTCCTAGCTGAAGCACCTGCCACAGCTGTGGCTTGCTCCCTTGATACACGTAGTGTGGAGGTGCTGAAGCTGGAGGCATGGTGACGGAGGAGATAAAGAGAGACTTGGGACTGGACAGTCCCATGTGTAGCTATTAAACAGCACCGTCTTTTAGTCTCTGAAGGGCATCAAGTTAGTAAACTGCAGAGTACACACTGCATCTAGAATTAGAGTTGATGAGGGTCCAGGGAAGATCCTGCTTGTGTGTGTGTGTGACACAGTGTGCATGCACACGTGGATATGTGCACACGAAAGGAGAGGTCAGAGGTTGATGTGGAATGTCTTTTTCAAACACTCTCCATCTTAGTTTTGTGAGACAGGCTCTTCCTGAAGCTGGAGCTCGCTGACTCAGCTAGACTGGCTGGCCTGCAAGCCCAGGGCTTCTTCTGTTTGCCTCTCCAGCTCAGGGATTCCCAGCATGCATCACTGCATCAGGCTGGTTTCTTTTCTTTTTAAAATATGGGTGAAGATGGGGTGGGATGCAGCTCCTCGTGCTTGTGCATCCAACACGTTGCCAACGAAGCTGTCTTCCCAGCCCCTGAAGAGGAACTTGAGAAGCATGATCTGACTTGGTGTCAGTTGGTTTTAAGGCTTGAGAGGAGAGTGTTAAATCTAAGAGCTCAGAATGTGGAGAGCCATTAGGGAACTATACGGGAAAACTGTTGGGCTTGAGCGAAGTTGGAATCTGAAGGACCAGAGAAGAATGGTAGCATGGACAGATACTCGGAAGCATAATTAATAGGACCTGGCAGTCCACTCAGGACCAGGGCTGGAGGAGGACTCTCAAGAGTTGCTCAGATGGTGTTGCGGGCTTATGGCTAGGGTGGAAACACTGCATGG